ACTGGTGATCTAATTTCATTTGGATTTTCTTCATGGAACGTTTAATCACATGCAACATTCAAAATTTGCTAGATCATGAGAGACATGTTGGTGAAACACTTTATTTATTTTTTTATATAAATTACAAACCACACCAGAGTCATACGGCTACGAATGACAACACCTGAAGTCCAGTCAACTTTTCTGCCCAAACGTTTCAAGAATAGAGTTCTTTGAAAGGGCTACAATATATTTTTGACTTTTACGGCCCTGTAATGCTCCATGGGAGTTACTTTAAGCATAATGCTTTACATTTTGCACAAGTACAAGTTCCAAAGAGGATCATCTTTGCTGGCACACTGCCTCCTGCCTCTACAATTTTAGGCTTTCCTCTGAATAAGCATCAAATGCAAATGTAACAATTGTTTAAAGATTTGTTACAAAGAATGTATATATTTGAGAAAGGACAGAACGGTTCCAAGCTTCAATGTTTTTTTGTGAAATAGGCAATAAGATATGAAACAGGTTTCATATCTTGTGATTCTTTGAACTTGTTTATGACTCTAGTCCATCCTCAAAATATTTGAAAAATATGGGCAAGTATAGAATAAATCCAGTTTTTATCTCATGTCAAGAATGAGATATTCCTCTTTTTATTGTTGTAGGAACAGTTCAAAGTGGCAGCCTGCGACTATTTGACCCGAAAAACAAAACACATCTATTCAGCCATCATGTCAGCGATGCTGCTTTCTCCTTATTTTGTCAGTATCATAGCTAACGTCTGTCAGCAAGCTTCCCTTTACAATACTCTGCCACTTGAGGCTGACATGGCAAGATACACAATCTCACAAGTCATACATGAAGACATCTCAGAGTAAGTCCTCTAGTTCTTGAACCACTTTTGTACAACATGTAGAAATGCAAATCATTCAACTCCCCTCACTCCTCACTAAAAGCTCATATGATATTAACTAACCAGAAAATCTAAAATCAAACCATTATTTATTTTTACAGTAAATGTTTGGTCACAGATGCAGCGCCATACTTCTGCGACTAAATGACAATGGGAAAAAAATGGAAAAAATAGATTTTTGATGTGTTTTTTAAACCCTCTGATATAATAGTTCTTGAAAAATCAGAATAGGCCACTAATCAGCCTAAAATATTTACTGTTCTTGTTTTAATTCCCTATAGATAAATGCAGAGGACTAACTATGAAAAACTGCCCAGTTATTTTAAATGTTAATACTCCTGCATTTAATTTGTAACATAATCTGATCAATCTACATCCATTTATTTACATCTAAAAGAAATACAAATCTGTCAATCGGTAATTCCTCTTTAAATAAAAATAATGGACTTCTTCACTCAAGAGTATTAATGTTTGATACTTATGTAATTGATACTTCTGTAATTAAAACAGACAAATTATCAAATGAATTTGTCTGTTTTAATTATTGTTTCATCTTTTGCTTTAAGTTATCGCATGCCTTCACAAAAGCATCTAAATTTGAATCTTATTGATATTTCCTCCTCTGTTTTTTTGGACACAATGCTTCTCCATCTGGAGGGGGAGGACGCAGCCGAGAGATTTATTTTGGAAGCAGTAAAACATGTGAGGGGAGTAAAGTGAGAGATGGTGGAGAAGAGGGGAGGAGAGGGAGAGCAGAGGAAAGGAGAGGGATGCTAACCATCCCGGTAGGTGTTAAAGCTGCGGTGGGAATCCCTACGTGTGCGTATAGTATGTGCACACACATAAAACACTTACAGACACACAAACATCCATATGCACAAACCTGAGCAAACAAAGGAAGCACATAATCTACTCGAATAATACACAAATGAATGAGTCTAAGAAAGAACTCATATTTAAGAGTTGCTCTCAAGCATTAAATCCCACATGTCTTTCTGAGTCTACCGGTCTCTCATTCACATCCAGAAACACATTGTGTTTGAGCAGCCTTCAGAGCACTGCTGGGTAATTATTTAGCGGGCGCACCACTTTAGAGTCGGACAATGCTTCTGGTTGTGATGGCGGATCGATGGGGTGAAGTGGGGGGGGAGTGAGGAGGAGGACAGAGGTGAACATGGATAAAAGGTGAAGGAGGGGTGGAGTACGAGAGTGGAAGAGGAAGGGGCAACCTTTTTTTTTTCTTTAATTGGAAATATTTACTCTAATTTTAGGAATATGAAACCTTTGGGTTTCCTTTGAGCGTGTAATTTACCTCTCTTACTACATTATCTGGCTACGCCGGTGGGCGTCATCAGCAATTCCCCGTGAATAATGTCTGTGACTGTGCCTGCGATGTGTGGAATAATTAATACTGCCATTATTGGTGGGTGGAGACGGCCTGTCAGTCATACTGGTCAAGCATGAAAAGCAGGATGTTTATCACCGCTGACTGTTTCTATGGTGATCATAGATGGATAATAAGGCTCAGTTTTTACTACAGAATGCCCGCCTAAAAATACCAGAAATGTGCAGACATGCAGCTTGAGGAAGCAAGAACCTCCTTTACACTTACGGACAAACAAAGATACCTCGTGACTGCACAGAACACACAATCATTTACACAAGTGACAGGCAAACCTACAGTATCTAAACTTGGTGGACAGACAGAGGATTATGAATATATTCGAACCTCCTGAGTTTTTAAAAAAAATTCTTCATGTTACAACCACAAAATTATATTTATTTTTGGGGGGGCTTTTATGTGATGGACCACTGTTAAAGGAACTAAAAATATGCATAGTTTTCTGAAAAGTAATATGCATATGTAACATATGTGTCTCAAGTCAGTACTCTGCAGGGCCACCTTTCAATGCAAGTACAGCTGCAAATTTGGCCCGTTTTACAAGACCTGAAATGTTGACTCAATCTTCTTTAAAATAATCCAGCTTGTTGATCTCTGAAGCTCTTCCAGAGTCTTTATACCCCTTCTCTGATTAATGTCTGTCAGTTTAGCTTGTCTGTCATGTCTTGCTAGGTTTTCAGGTGAGCCATATTCTGCATTTTAATGTAAGTGACAAGTGCACAGGTGTCAAACTCCAATCCTCAAGGGCCGCTGGCCTGCAGTTTTTAGATATGCAACAGCTACAAAACACTGGAATGAAATGGCTTAATCACGTCCTCCTTGTGTGGATCAGTTCTTCAGAGCCTTGCTAATGACCTAATTATTCTTTTCAGGTGTGGTGCAGCAGAGGCACATCAAAAAGTTGCAGAACGCCAGCCCTTGAGGACTGGACTAGTGCTTTGAAAGATGTTCAAAGCTCAAGATAAACTTCTTCAGATCTTTATGCATGACCTGTCGGTGGTATTTGGTAAATCATGCTGGTTATACGACACAAACTAATTGAAAAACCAGTCTGCACCCCCTCAACAGTAGGGGGGCTCCACCAAGAACTACTGAAGAAAAGAACATGAACACCATTGAAGAAGACATAAGCACAAATTCCCTCTTCACAAAATGTGAACAAAAATGGAGTGGCATCAGATTTGAACAAGTATAGGATTTATTTTTCGTCTTTGGCAACAGACCATAAGCCATTTCTCCCACAAGCTCTAGACTCACATTTGTTTAGGTTGTCACCCAGAATGCCCTGTCCTATAGTCTGCTTCCTGCTATCAGCCTGCTTGTATCCGCATATGCTTTCAAACCACACCAAATTTCACCTTAATTGAACTAAGACCTATGTATTTACATGCCAGATTTCACTTTTTAAGTCCATATTAGAGTTAGATTGCGCATTCACATCTTCACAAACAAACTGAACTTTCTACTCAAAAGGACTAGATTTCAATTAAAGCAGACAGAGGGGTAATTGTCAGTATGCAGCCTAAAATACTAATAGGTATGCTCCATACACAATGCACAGCGCACCTTCAAAATTTTCATTTGTCATTTTTCATCCATTTTACAGCCATGAGTCTCTTTGTGAGTATGTGGATATATCACATAAAATCCCAATGAAGTTTGTGGTCGTGACAAACTATAGAAATGTTCTATGGGGCATTTATTTCAGTTACCTGGATCGCTAAGAGGATGATAAATAAGCTTCTAATGCTGCCGTGACCCTTTAATGATAATCTGGTCTGGGAAGCGCAGTGAGAAATGAGCAGCAAGAAGCAGAGGTAGCGAGGAAGGAGAGACAGGAGATCCAGTGTGATGGTAAGAAAGAGGATTGTGGGGAAATTCAGTGGGTGGTAAGTGCTGCTGAATTTTTTAATAGTCCCTTGGCACAGATCTGATATGCATTCAGTTTGACACATGCACCTGTTTTAAATTCAAGTGGGGCAGCAACAGACTGTAAGAGGTGACACCGGACTTAATACATATTCAAGAAAGTTGTTGACGTTTCTGGCATGTTTTTGTGGGAAATTAAGATTTCCCTGCCTCTCTCTTCCTCTCTCAGACACAATATGAGTCAAACACGAACTCATTTAGGTTTAGACCAGATCAATCGCTTTCTGTGGTGTAGCAAAGAGCTGTGTTGCACACATAAGGTCAGCAGGCATGAAGGTACAAACCGAACACAATTCTCTGGTCAAAATCCCATAATTATCCAGACTCAAATTTCCAGACGTCTTCAGTTTTTTTCTGAGAAATGTTAATGTTTGAACAAAAATGCTTATGATGAAATCATTTTGACATTTCAACAGCTAAAAGGAATTTAAATATGAAACCACAGAGTAAGGAAAGATGGATTTTTGGGCAACAACATGAGAAAAAAAACTGTCTGAAAATCTAAATTAAAACTATTTTTCTCTCCTCCCTGAATGCACTTACTGTAAATCAAATTCCAGGCTTTTCTAGAGCGTGTGGGAACCCTGAAGCCAAATTAGTAAAACAGCTGATGAGTGAAGGAAGAGAGGAAAACATAGCCAACACAGTTTCTGTTTGCAGCTCTGTCTGAACACATCAACACAGACAGAGCTTACAGATTAGGAATCCACCCTAAGCTTGTTGTGTCCCACAGTGGATCCGTGTAAACACACCCGACCTCGTCTGTCTGCCTCTTACCTTCAGTCACATAGTTGTGGTCGGGGAGGAAGCCGTGGTGGTTGAGCGTCAGGGTGGCGTCAGTGTCTTCGCCCATCAGCGGGGATGGGGGGAGCCCCCGGCTCGGCTGGGCAGCGTGGTGGTGGTGGCAGATTGGTGGCGGTGAAGGGGATGGTGGGGATGCCGGCCAGCACAGCGTCCATGCTGCTGCCCGCCGACGCCTCCTCAGCACAGGGGCGCACAGCGGAGCATCCTAACCAGAAGAGGTGATGGGAAGCTGGCAGGTCACTTGGGGAAGATGGAGAGGCTTACAAAAGCCCTCGCAGCTGCTTCTGAAGACCAGGTGTCAACCTGCAGAAGGCGGATTATTTGAAAACGTCAGCATCACTCGTGCAGTGAGGGAAAGCCAGCGCAAGTCCACCCTGCAGTGGCTGTTCCGAATATTCTCCCATAAACACACTCAGACATCACAAACCTGACAGCAATGGGTAAACTCAGTGGATTCTTCAAAAACAGAAGAGGATGAGGAGCAGGAGAGAGGGGGCGGGGAGGGAGAGAGGGATGAGCAGAGCAGAGGAGAGCAGGGCTCTTGGTCGAAGTATCTGCAGTGCTGCTGCTTCTGCAGTGAACCCACTCACTTGAAGGCACACACACACACACACACATGCATGCAGGATGAGTTAAAACACACTCTTACCTACACACTCAGCAGCTTGTGAGATTGTCCTCTTCAATCAACCCTCCATGCAGGATCTCCTCGGCAGGTAAATGTCTCTCTGGCTTTCCACGAATAAATGGTAAAATCCTTGCTGGCTTTGCGCTCTGCTGCAGTGTGAGCTCTGGCGTATGTGTGAGAGGAAGAGTGAGAGGGAGAGGAGGGAGAGGCGGAGAGGATGAGTCCTGCTGCGCTGGTACGTTTACATGATGCATCGCTGGAGGCTCCACCTTCAATCAGGAGGAGCCAATCATCACAGAAACGAGAATCTGCGCAACCACTGACTGCAGCTGATTAACTATGATGAAGAAGCAGCCAGGATGGAACAGCGGGAGGCCAGAGGGAGTGACAGAGGATCTTAGAAGGCTGTAATCAATGAGTAAAGAGGCAGGAAAGGGGTTTCAGGCTGTTTCACTCAATGCTGAAAACCAAACAGAGCTCAGAAACTTGACTGAAGTATCACAGAGATGAGAAACATGCGACAGTCTTATTCACAAAGCAAAAAAGGACAAATGCAGATCATGGGACAACCCTATTTTTATCATCTTCAAATAGTTTCTGAGAGTTAGAACCAAAGCTGTTAGAAACACATTAATAACTAACACATGATCCCAAAGCCCAATGAATAACTCAAGTTATAGTTTTATGGCTTATGACATGCAACAGAGTGCTATCATTGCAGGAAGACAAAAAGGTTGACCAACAGAACATTGAGCACAGAGAAGCACTTTTCCTCCATAAAACTCATAAAACTCTTTGTTCGGATCAAATAAAGAAGATATAACGTTTTATGAAGCTTTATGTCCATCCATATGTTTGCTTATGGAAAGTAAAAGCTAAACACAATGTTTGTAAGATCGACTACGAACAACGGCTTCTTGGGCATCGCCATGTTGAAATCCCGACTCCTCCAAGCAAACAGAATACATTTGGATGCCACCTTTCAGCATAAAGTATGGAGAAATGCACCGGGACAGTTTTGATAAGAGTATGAAGGTTGAACAGCATATTCATATTTACTTCATAGCATCTATTAAATAAGTGAACAAATTGTGGCAGTGTGTCTCTTTCTCTGAAAGAAGCATCTGGTCCAGAGTGCTGGATTTCTGAGTCAGTAGGGTTTGGAAGGAGGAGCCACTTTATGGCTGACACGGAAAACTGTCCATGATGTACCGAGATTTATTTGAAATAAAGGTCAAACGAGGCACCACATAGCTCAGTGGTAGAGCAGGCACACCCTCCACAGAGGCTACATTCATCAACGTAGCTGTTCCCAGTTCAGTTCCCAATCATTTGCTGCATGTATTCCCCATCTCTCTCTCTGCTCATATTCCAGAGCCTTTACTGTTGAATGAAGGACACTAATCCCACAAACGTCTCTGCAAAACAAAATAAAGGTCAAATAATTGCAGGGCTGACCCAAGGAGAAATGATTGAACTAGCAAAATTGACTTAACAAAGCCAACAAACTCTGTCAGCTAAAACTAGAACAATAGGCAGTTTTTTCAAACTCTTTCTAAATGTAAACCTTTCAAGTGAATCTAAATGTGGGTTGCTTCTATTATATGTAACTAGAAATCAAAGGTTTGCAGATCTGTACTTTGTGTGAAAAGCTAAGCACTCTTGTGCGCCCTCTGCTGGCCAGGAGGCCCTACGCTCAGTTTGCTTTTTTTTAACGGCCCCAAAAAGACAAAATTGAAAGTCGCTTGATCTCAATATTTAACAACATATATCCTCCCACAGAGATAAGTAAAAAGTTCAAATATAATAATAATTTGAAAGACATATTAATTTAATATTAAATTAATACCCACAGTTAGACAAATGAGCAAATAACTCATTGCTATTTCTACTGGTAAGAAATAGCAATGAGTTATTTTGTTACAATCATAGCAAACTGTATTCATTTTTACTTTTTCTGTGCTGTAACACCAACAGCCCTAACAATTACAATTCAAGTTTTACATCAGTCTGTGACCACTAAAACGCACAGTTATCAATACTGAGACACATGCTTCCTCCATATTGCCCCTCTCTCCTTCATGGGATCATTATTAGCCACTTACTGAAGGACAGCACACATACACACACAGAGAGAGGCTTGAGCCGGCGTGGCAGCAGAGCGCGAGCTGCCAGTGACAGTTGGTGCCATCATTGCTGCTGGCTGTCTGCCGCCAGCCTTTAACCCTCCTTCACAGGGAACAAGAAGTGCTGTTTATCAGACTTACTCCAAGACCGCCAGCCTTAATCTCCCCCAGCGACTACTTACCAACCATGCACAATGTTCCACATGCTGCAGCTCCACATCTGACTGTACTGTGAGCTGGAATTGAGATAAAATCTCAATTATGGCAACGTAGAGGAAATTTAATACATCAAAACAATTTAAAAGTCTTTTTTTTTTCTTTTTTCGTTTGTTTGTTTAACTGTTCTTCTGAAATACTGACGAACAATATATTGTATTTTCTTATAAAAGATCACTCTGACCTTCCGGCGCATGACTATGAGATGACATTAAGATTTACATTGAAGCAACGTTGTAGGATGATTTTATTTATGCTTAAGTCATTTTGAAAAGAATAATGAAGTTGGAATTCACTAATTAGCATTGCAGCTCAAAAACACAATCAAAAAGGCAATACTACAGAAGTAGTGCATATTCAATTTAGATTGAAAGCCAGGCGTTTTCTGTAAAATACAGTGGCAAATATATTAGACATGTTTTTTTCTGTACAGTGTTTTTGATTTTTTTTAATATAAATGTGTTACTTATTGAAAAATATAAATATATATATCCTTCTGAATAAACGTTTCTGAAAGCTGGACCAAGTGTACACGCATCCAAAAAGTTGGAGGCCGATACAATTATTAGGTTCAATTGTCTATTTTGTCTGTTTTTTCCTCTTTTTCTGGTTTATCAAATTTGTCCCTAATTGGTGTTCATGTTGGTGTTTGCTCAAAGATTGGATCCCAGAGCAGCCATTCACCCATTCATGCGCACATTGACATGCTGCAATCTCAATCATGGGCCGTTTATGTGGCAGCTTCACTGTAACAGTAGAGCCTCGTCAGCTTGTCCTTGTTAACCCCTCATGACCCTGACGGGGCCGTCCTGCGTGGCTACAGTCTGTCACCCGCTGAGACCGAGTCGCTCGTGCGTGAACGCTTGGCCACGGTCCGTTTTGTCACCATGGCGACGGCGAGCGTGAACACCCACAAACCGGTCCCAGACTCGGGCCCTTCGCTCCGCATGGCATCTGACCTGCTCTTGTGCCCTCACACCAGCTTCTTCAGGACAGATGGCGGAAGGCTGTGGTGAGATTTAACGAGAACGTTCAACGCAAATCTGTGGCAGAGGAGACAGAAGTGATTATTCCTGTCGTCCTCTGAACACGCTGAAAACCTGAACTGGCCAGACACCACCAGTTTGTATAAAAATATACATTCATGGAGTAGTATTAAATATATCTCTTAGTTCCTCGTTCTTCATTAAGCGTTATTTTTTTAATTTCATACATTATTCTCATTTTGATGATTTTATCTGAACAACTAAAGTCCACAGTCTAAACTTCAATCTAAACTAAAATTAAATGTGACTTTTAAAGCTATTATCCTTCTTAGATGTCAAACTTTTTTCAGTATACATTTAGACGAAAAATCTCCTCGAAATCAAAAACCATTACAAATTACCTTCACTGTAAAATATTTTACTGAAAACATAACTGCTCAAACTTTTTTTTTTCTTTCAGGTGAATAAAGGAGCAAACTTTTTAGTTGTGTTGAATTATTTTTGCAAAAAAAGGAAGAGACATATTAAATGTTACATTTTCTATAAGATTTAATTGTATTCATTTCTGTAAAGAGTTTAAGATTTTAGTGTTGTCTGGAGTTAAAAATCAACTCATAGTCACAATTTTATGAGGTTTTTCCAGGACTCTATATCATAAAGTAGCTGTGGTTTCAGGCATCCAATCTGAATGGAAATTGCTTTCTTTGTGCAAAGTTCATAGAGATTTATTTTCAAATCTTTTTTTGTATATCTGTTCATAAAAATGAGATGAAAAGTGAGCAGCCTCACAAGTGACCTTAAGCATTGCCAGATACAGTAATATTTCTAGAGCAGTATTTATATCCTGTGGATTCCGCCATGTTTTATCAGTTTCTCTTCCTACATCTTCACCTTGTGTAACAGAGCGAACACCAGCCAGTCGATGAACCAGATAAATTGACTTAATGCTCCATAACGGGCGGAGTGGCAGACTCCATCATGATTCAGGCCTACAACTCGTCAACATGATAATGATCGCCCTCATTTATCACTGGCAATAAGCTGCGTCCAATCAGACGCAGCGCCACATGCGTCTGCCTCCGTTGACCTGCTGCCTCTCTCCCGTCCCACCCCCCACTTCACCATGCAGACGCACGGTTTCTTAGCAACCCGCAAGCAGCCTATGGAGAGAACACCGACTCAGACGTGCCGTATCTCATGCACACAGACATACACGTTTGGAAATCTGAGGGAGGAGGATAACGTGTTTCCACTCTGCCCTCAGCCAACTAAATATACAGCCAGATACAAACCGAGTGCCTCTATGAAGCCACTCGGTTTTGCTATCAGATTGTGCATCTACTCAACAAAATCTGCGAAAGGAAACTTTATTATTGCACTTAGTCATTAACAATTTCTGAACGATCACCAATATTTAAAGCCCAGCAACCATAAAATCTGCACTTTCCAAAAGGCTTATGGGATGGAAGTTAAAAGCTCTGCAGCCTCCATGCAGTTTGACACTATTAGCACATTAAGGGAGAGCTTAAATACAGTCAGCAGACGATGGATCAACCAGTGCCCTGAGCGGGAGACAGCACCATAATTCCCCTAAAGGGTGGAGGGGGGTTTGTTACTTTAATAGCAACTTGCATGAAACCACAGACCCTGGAGAGAGGTGGGACTGGCTGGGTAATAATGAACAACCTTTGGGCTGCTCTAAATCCCATACAGCCTCAACCCACGCATACGTTTACACAGGAAAAATGGCCTCTATCTGCAACCACTGTATGCATAAAAGGCATTAAAGTGTCTGGGAAAAAAAACACAAGACCTGGAGAGAAAAATCTATGTTACATGCATATGACATGTTTAGAGGGTTCATTGAGTGTCAGGGGGATCATTTCAGCCTCAGCAGACTGTGATAGGGTGATGGAGTGAGTACTTTAGCTGAAAGCAGGGAAATGAGAGAAGGTGGAGTGTGTTATTTTCTTCTGGAAAGTTGCAGTAAAACTGCAGAGGAAGATAAACACATGCAATGTGAGGGTCATTTAGAGAAATACTGCCCTGCACAAGTATTCATTTCCTTATTATAACCACAATCTTCACTGTATTTTATAGGAGTTTTACGTGACACACAAACACAAGTGGTGCATAATTATAGTGTGGAAGAATACTTGGTTTCTATTGCAGCTGCAACTAAAGATTATTTCAGTAATTGATTATTCTATTGATTGTTCTGACAACTAGTCAAATAAAACTAGTTGTCTGCTTCAGGAGAGCTGTGATTTAACCACTTAAACCTTTTCATATAAAATATTAAGACTTACTTTTACAAGATGCAAATAAACAATTCATTTTTAAATAAGAAAATAAACATTTTATTGTGCAAAATTAAGCAATTTCTTTTCCATTCTTTTAATGAATGCGCTAAGATTTGTAGCAAAGGATGCAACTGCAGCTTTAAAAACATACTAACATGTGAAAAGCTCAACTTTTTCTGCTGGACTTATCAGTACAGTGAAGGGTTGACTTACAAATTATTATTTTTGCACATATTGATCAATAATTGGATAGCAAAAGACGCTTAATAGGATTTGTTTTTATTTACACAATTTGAACTTGTACATGTATTTTATCTTAAATGCTAAATGCATTTACCTTTGTACAGTTCGCAGTGTTGTTCTTTCAGAAACATTTTTAAGTCTACATACTCCAGTTAATAGTTTGATAACTAATTTAGTTGACAAATATTGCCATTCATTGCAATTAATCAATTCAATCCTACTTCCTTGTACAGTTTTACACATAAAAAGCTGAATGTGCTTTTGTATTCACACCCCTTCCTCTGGTATCCCAAAATAAAATCCAATGTAAAATATCCCAGCTGTGTGTAATTTAGTCAGATCACAATTTCAGCGTTACAGATTTCTCTCCATTTGGTGTTTCATGTGGTTTGTAAATCTTACAAAGCATTCACACATCTGGCAATCCAGCTTGGTCCACAGATATTTGTTGCTCTTTTCCTTTTTAGGTAAAGCTGCTTTGAACAGATTTACGATTGCACACAACTAAATATAAACAAAATAAATACTGAATGGAATGGATGCTATCTGAATACAAACACAAAACATTTCGAGACCCAAATCCGTGCACAGATTAATGCCTCTATCTGGCCCCATGCTTTCAAATAGCACATAAATTCAGCACTGAATTTATGTGCTGAATTTTGTGTATGTGTATGTGTTTATGCATGCATTTTGAAGAACCTTCTGTAAGAACCTCCAGCTTTATCCAGTGAGGATTCAATCCACCCACATCAACAGCAGACAGCAAACCTTTATCTGAGTCAGACTTATAAATGCTAAATCTTTCAAGTGAGGCACGCTGACATTAATGTTCGAATCTCTTTGTCATGTTGCACAGCCTCTTCCGGCTCTGTGTTCTTAAAATATGTGCAGTCTTTCTGACTGAGGCAGAGAGAGAGACCTGCACACAAACACAGGTGACCTTTAAGGGGGAGGGGAGGTCACTGCATGTTGTGTTTCTGTGAGCAATCCATGGACTCAGCAGCTTGGGGAGTACATGCTCAGAGCCCGGGCCAGACCTCCCTCTGCAGAGTGTGAAAGACGACAGAGAGAGACCGGGACAAATATCCCATCAGCCCCCACTCAGCCCACATGCTCAGTGCATGTTTAGGTCTATGAAGAAGAAAAAAAAACATATATACACCAAGTCAATGTTTCAAAAACTGAGGACTTCTGGACAATAAAAGAGCTAAAAGTTGATAAAAAGAAGAAAAAAGTGGAATATCTTGATCACTTCATCTAAGTCCCATTTTGTGACCATTTTTTTTAAACAAAATATTTTCTTGAATTACAAATAGGATAAATTTGTTTTTCTTGGAAATCCTATCAGAAGACACTCGAAGACTAATAAAAATAAAGTGTTTATTGAACGTCTCATGTGTGAAGCATTCAAAACCATTTTAAAAAAACGAATACAAGAAACAGAAGAAAGTTTGTATAAAGTAGTTTATACAAACGATATAAGTTTCACATACTTATACATAAAGAATAGCTAAAACATGTTCTAATAAATTACGTTTTGTGCAGGTATAAAATTAACTCACATTTGGATTTTTCTGGACATTCATACGATGTATTACAGGACTGGCACCATGATGACACACGTGCATGCATCAGGGGGAAAAGATGTGACTAGTGTAGGACAAAACAAGGTAAAACATGCTGAGAACATCAAAACCTGTCAGCATACATTTCTGTAAACCTCTCTTGCATTTGCACTGCCCCCTGGTGTCTGGCATAAGACAGTGCAACAAACTTACATGTTTATTTCTTCACAATGAAAAGCTCGGACGTAGAGCTTTGACTCTTTTTTTTTTACAGGAAATAAACAAGTCCTCTTCAACATTACATTTACCATAGTAAAGTATTTCACAGCAGAGTCAAATTATAAATAAACTTGATGAGTACACACCTTTTTTGAAGAGACCAAAGAAGCTTCAAACTATGAACAAACATACTTTCGTTTAGCAGCCAAACAATCTGCTTTTTAAACCACAGTTTTAAAATAAAACCTCAAAGTAAATATTTAGTCAGCTTATGTAATGGAAAAACTTTTTTTACTGTTGAGAAAATCCTAAACAATTCTGACTTTACTAATAAGCTTGTTAATGAAAACAGATGCTGAAAAAATTCAGCTGTCTAATTATTGGAGAAAGTAGAAGAAAAAAAAGCACAGAAAACTAAAATAAAAGAAAACGAGCAGGAGCAAAAACATAAATACCAGGAGCCAAAAGCATTAACCAGAAACCAACTGGAGGAAATTAGATTGTATGGAGAATAAAATGCTAATTTCAACAGTATTAATCTTCTTTAATACTGAAGAAGAATAGCACAACATTCAATCCAAGGTAAGCACTGACAAAGAGCAATTACATTTACAGTAATATTTAAGATAGGATAAGCAATATATAATATTGCTTTACATTTTTTAAGATTAATGCTCTAAAGCAGGGGTGTCAAACTCCAGTCGTCAAGAGTAGTAAAGGACAATAACTATTCTATTCAGGTGAGGTGCAGCAGAGGCACGTCTGAAAGTTGCAGGACACAGAGGATACACCTGTGCTCCGAAGGAATTAACTTGTTATAAAAGATAAGAGTGCAAAGGACCAGTTGTTTGTTTCATATTCTTTCTAGTTGTTATTTCAATTTCCACTGCTTACTGGAAAAAAATAATAATAATTTTCACATTTTCTACCAGTTTCATACAGGATGTTCATGAAATAGGAAACATTGTGTCGGATCAGTTTTAACTACATGCTGCACAACTCTGTATATTCACCCATCAAGGCAAGACAGACGAGTTCTAGTTCATCTAAATAAATACTTCATTATATTATGTATTATCTTAGTTTTATGAGTCATATATTGGATTTCTATCCAATGTATGATCCACAAACACATTCATATTGTGGATTCATTAGAGTCAATTTTTTCAATTGTTTTCTATCAATTTGGATGATTACCACTGACAGCCAAAGAAAAGCCTAAATTTAGCTTCTCTGAAGATTATAATTGAAGCTATTAAACATTTTTTTCGATACAGAAATGTCAAAGTACAAACATGAACTTTGCATGAGTCACTGGATCAATGGAGGCGATCAGGCTGCAAATCACCTCAAGAATGTGTTTACTTCTGTTGTATTTGCACCTTTTACTACCACACTTTTTCTTTTCACCTAACATTTCACTACTATGTTTGGACATTAGTGTATTTGTTGAACTCTTTTAATCGTCTGATTTTTAGAGAAAGTCAATTTTGGGTTTTACGTTTATTAGCCATAAAAGATGGAAGGAAATTAATGCCACTGAAATAAAAGGAGTTCTGATTTTGATCTCAAAATTTCCATAATCCTCTTGTGTAGTAAGCCAAAATGATGAAATCTAACAGAAAATGATGCTTAAACTATATCAATCTTTGTGTAATAAGTCTATATAAAATTTGAATGTCCGTACTAAATGGAAATCCTGAAATGCAATTTTGATGACATTTTAATTTTTTAGATACAGCTGTAACATATGTAAAACATTATTTGACAGTTTCTTCAGTTCAAATGAAGTGTGTTCAGAAATGGTCAACTTTGAAAAGGAAAAGAAATAGTAATATTGTCACATTTTGCTTGTTTCACTTCCAATTCAGATTTTTTATAATCATTCATTCACATCAATTACACTGAACAAAAAACTATTTGACCTAAAACAGACTGACTCACAATTAAACATAATCATCTACATAAAAAAATATAGAAGCTCGAATAAGACCAAAAAGCTCCAATTGTTCCAAATTGCTGCCAAGACGCTGAATAATAACTTAATGTAGGTATGTTTCCCACTTGTGTTGCTTTTAGATAGCACTCTGGCCTGTGTCAGGCTCCGGCTGACCGTCAGAGTAGTACGGATCCCCTTGATGGACTCTGTGATTGTGCACCCTCAGGTTTCCTCTGTGGGCAAATCTTTTCCCACACTCGACGCAAGCAAAGGGCCTCTTTCCCATGTGAACGTCTCGCTGGTGGGCTCTCAGGTTGCCGCTGCGGGCGAAGCGTTTACCGCACTGAGCGCAGCCGAAGGGACGCTCCCCAGTATGCGTGCGAGTGTGAACGGTGAGCTCTGACGGCGTGAGGAAGCTCTTGTCACAGAACTGACAGGGATGCAGTCTGACTCCGGTGTGCCGTAGAAGGTGTCTGCGCTGATGGGAAGGGTAGGTGAAACACTTGGTGCAGTAGGGGCAGGAGTAAGGGCGGCCGCTGCCTCCACCGGGAGTTACCGGATGACTGTGAATGTTGGTCTGTCGTGCTGCGAGCAGCTGGGAGTTGGACTGTGGTCGCAGAGGATCTCTGGTGGTAAAATTAGTGACTCGCCGTGTGTGATTGATGTGGTCTCTTGCATCTCGATCATCTCTTGTTCGCCATGATTCACCAGAGGAGGCAGGAGTGAGATCAGTCTGAGACACCTTTTTTCCTGGACCCTGATCCGAGTTCTGGTTCTCAGACTCCTGGTCCAGATAAGCAAACGAGGCGTTGTCACCTTCGTTGCTGGTCTCGTCTGATCTAAAAACACGCGGGAAGGAAGACACGTCGTTCCCGATGTTGCTGCTAGCTGCAGCAGAGCAGTCAGTGCCGTCTGCCTGCAGCTGGTCCAGACCTGATATAGCACCTCGAGTGGCGTTCAGTCCAGGTAACCACTCACCTGCCGGAAGTAGACTGGATTCAGACTTGGGAGAGCAGTGGTCAGGATGGGAGATGGACACATTTCCATTTGGGGCTTGGACTGCAGCAGTCCGCAATCGAAGATGCTGTTCATAAAAGAGGTAAAAGAAATCTGTAAGAACCTCAATACTTAACAAGAACCAGATATGAATGAGTAAATTTGTAGTGGCTAAGACATATTTTAGCAAAATCACTGGGTAGATGATACAGAAGCAAAACATCTCACCTCATGTTTTATGGCAGCTCCTTCCTGACCTGTAACCTCTTCCTTCAGCATGCAGAGGACTTCCTCTCCTTCCGATGGACATGGATCCTTCCCCACACTCAGTGCTATGCAAAAAGAACAGATTAGTGCAAACTCTGGTCTTAGTTGTAAACCAGAATACAACTAAGACCATACTAATATTAATACAGTACAAACTAATGCATTTGTACTGCATTTACAGAGGATTAAAACAAAACATACAAAAAAAAGAAAGAAAAACAAGTATTCTTATCCAGGACAAAATAATATAATATACTAAGAGCTCTTTTAATGTTACAAGTATTTTTTTTTTTACTGTTCTGTAGGGTATTAACTAAAACAGATTAAATTATGAGTATTTCTGAATGCTTTCTATGCAGAATATCACTCTTTTCGATGTTGACTCTTTACCCCAGTACAGGGTTGTCCAACTCAAGTTATCAAGCCAATGTTCTGCATGCAACACAGTTCAAATAATGGCCCAATTATGCCCTCAGCTTGTCATCAAGTTCTGCAGAATCTTGATAATGAAACATTAATTCGGTTAAAGTGTGCTGGACTAGGAAACCATCTAAAACACGCTGGACTGCAGTTCTTGAGGAGTGGAGTTGGACATCACTGTACTAGTCCCACTCAGTGTTACACAGTCTGGGTTAGGAAACATGTCACTTGAAGTTTACCAGCAATAATTTTAAAACAAGGTCAATCATAATGTATATAACTTACATTATTTAAACAGCTGTGGTTCTATTTCTTTCTAGGTCTATTGTAATACCTGATCCTGTCGGGATCTGCTGCCTCAGGCTGCCCTCTCTGTCTCCTGATGACGGCTCTCCCTCCTCGGTGCCTCCACCCTTAGCTTTGTGCCTCTTCTCCACCTTCTCCAGCCTGCAGCGGAGCACGGAGATCTCCTCGACTTTCTGCGCCAGCTCCGCCTGCTGTTCGCACAGGCTGCTCTCGAAGATCTTGGCGATCTCGCACACGGCGGCAGCAAGCAGGGAGTCCATGACGGCGGCCAGCTGAGCGTGAAAAGCGCTCCTCACACACTCCATGCTCCTTTTGTTATGATCAAACCCCGTCTTAATGTCCGAGGCTGACCCACACACCGCTGGGAGCTTCCACAAAACACGACATGCTGCCTGAGATACTGTCAGTATGCAATTTGGAGTTTATGGCTCAAGCCTTCTAAACTGTTGGCTATTTTCGACCGTGATTTAGTAAAACCCCTTGAAAAGAGACATGAAAATCCTTGCTTCGCTTTCTCGTTACCTCTGGATAACATGTAAACAACGACCCATCGAAGCTAGCGATGCATCCTTTAAGCTAGCAATTGCGTTTAATGTCTAAACGCTACACTAAAAACGAAGAACAGATTAATAGATAATTGTAATTTACTGGCCAGTAACTTTCTGTGGACCGGAATAAAATAAATATAGCAGCCTCACTTTAGAGGAAAAACCGGACGATTTATGGAGCAGATCGACACCTGTGAAGAGATGTGGCAAATCTCGCGATAATAGATGAGAAATCTCGTCCTGCTGACGTGCAGGTAAGGAATGTGCAACAGATTAATCCAACACTTTTATATTTCAAATATAAACTTCTTCCATATTAACTATGGGGAAGAACAAGCCAGCGTGTAAGGAAATTAAAATCAAAACATTAGCGGTGAAAAACCAAAAATTCCGCTTTATTTCAGAACTCTACCATGAAATTAGAATCAAATAAAGGGAAACCAGAAGCATTGTAGCCTCCATCCTAAATATATGTAGTTGAAAAAATTCAATATTCTACTTAAATATTAGAAATTAACAAAAACTAAACTATATTGTTTTATTAAAATTGGGTTAACATCAAATGAAGCCAACAACTTCAAGCACAAAAATTGTACTGTAACAAATAAAGCAAGTTTAAAACACATCAACAAATGAACAAATAAATTCAAGGTAATTAATTTACAACAAAAAAAAGATAAGCTGAAATAATTCCTGAAGAGTAAACCCATTTTTAAAAATTACATAAACTCTGTTCAACCAATGTATTTGACACCAGAGCTCTGTGTAACGATCCAGCATTCAAACATCACATAATACAGTTGTAAAGTTCCAAAGATGTGTCACAGGCAAACAAATACTTGGAGAGACTGTACCTTTGTATTTATTTTAAAAAAGAAACAGGAAAAGAACATTTTTGGCTTGGATCATATTTCTCACAAAGTGATGGAAGGACTTCTCACTTACTAGACGATCACCTAGCAAGTTTATAGATTTTCTGTCTTAAGAGTTTTCACTTTCTGAGGACACATCTGCCTTCATCAGTCTAATTTCAGTCAGAGAAAACGAGACGTTGAGGTGACGACTTGCTTTTGGAGGACAAAACTTGTCTCGTCTTATACCCTTACCCGTGATTTGAGAAAAAACAAAACAAAGGCATCTTGTTTTGACTGAAATGGGTTTAAGAAATACATTTGGAGCTGTTCTTTCCCAATTCTGAAGTGAAACAAACAAAACACGGTGGGTGTAAATTACCCAAATTATCAGTGATATAATGTCCGAGGACAGCAGCTATCTTGTTGCAGTCTTCCTGCCCTTCTTCTTATGCACTCAGGCCGGCCTTGTAAAAAAAAAAAAATCAAAATGCACATCACTTATCACCTCCAGTGGCCTTCATTTTTGCATTTTCTCACCGCGTTTCAACACTTCGTCTTCGTCAACATCTTCTAAGGGCTCAGTCCATCCCAGGTCTCCATTTTGGTTGCTGACCTGCATGAGACTTTTGTTTTTGCTCTCGTATACATCGAATTCCTTTTTCTCATCAAGCCTCTTTAGACGCGTGGGTGAAGTTTGCGTCTTCTCACTATGAGACATTTTGTGCCGTCTAAACTTGTTTCTGGAGTTAGTCCTGTAGCTGCACTGTTTGCAGGAGAACTTTCGGGTGGCGTTATTTTTCTTGTCAACAGAAGACTGTGCAATTTTCTTTTTCTCAATCACCTCTGTTTTGCTGGAGTTGAGTGTTTTTCTCTTTAAGGGATTCTTCTTCTCTTTTAGTCTGCGTTTTTCTTTCATCAACTTCTTGTACTCTGCACAAACTCTCTTATGGGATTCCACATCACTTTGGAAGCATAGGGCCCTCAGGCAACCTTTGCACTTCCTCTGTGAACTCACATGTACGCCCAGGCCTTTTTTTGTGTTGAACACCCTGTAGCAAGTCTCACAAACGTATTTCCTCTGATTTTTCTCATTGTGCTTTGATGAATCTTTTTCATCTTTCTTCTCTTTTTTGTCGTCATCTGTAAAAGTTTCCTCATTTATTTGTCTTTTCCGAAGCCGGCCCAAAGCGGTGAGGTTACAGTAGTCCTTGCTGAGACCTTGGAGTAATTTGTTGAGGTCGCCACTTAATTTCGGGTGCCGAGTTGGTTTACTCTCGTCTTGCCTCGGGTTTAGCTTTTCATTGATGACAGAGACTGGGAGGAACAGACAGACAAATGGAGAATGTCATTTGAAGGTGTGATTTGAGTTCTTAGAACTTATGTGTTGAGACAAAATAGTTTAGCAACAGCAAAGCAAAAAGGGTGCACATAATTTTGACAGAGTGACGTGAGAAACAGGAAAATGTTATAATTTACTGCTTTCATGAGGCTGATTAATCAAAATGTAACATGATGGGAACTATTACATAAATGAATGTAGTCTTAGATTTTTGTCTGCTTGAAGTTTTTTTTTTTTCATATTTATGTAAAACTGGAAACACCGTACTTTTGAACCTTTTAGAGAAACCCTAATTATTTTTATGAAAATGTCTATAAAAGAGCTAAAAATAAACGCAAAACAGCCTGAAACAGGCATCAGAGAATGGTCAAAATGTTCCATAATTCAACTTACTTCTTTTTGATCTCCTGCCGACTGGAGATTTTTGGGGGTCGATGACATGGTTGAACTCCTAAAAACAGAAAAAGAGAAACGTATATAAGTTACATCTCTAAAATATAGAAAAAAAATCTCAAAAGAAAAAGAGTGAAGAAAGCAAAAGGCTTAAAAAGGATCAAACAATCAGAGTAAGTCTCAGCATATTTAGATCTGGGCTCACTGTTTTTCACTTTTACTTGACTTCTGGATTTCAGCATTAGTTTAGCTGTCTGACAGGAGTCTGTCCGAGGCTACACTGAAAAATCAACCAGTGGTCTGTTAAGCAAGAAGCCCACTGTGAGATGTGGCACCATAACAATCAGCTCATACAGCAGGTTACAGATCTAATCGCTCACCCCTTGCAGTTTGTGTTATTGAACAACCATTCGCCATCACCAGAATTCTTAGATCCATCTACACACCTCGTGCTTAACAAGAGGAACAGGAAACAGACGAATGGAAAACTGCCGCAGTCTTACGCTGGGACAACCCTCCTCTTGTCTGTTCGATGCATCACAGCCCAGTGGAGCACACCAGTCATCGGGCACTGCACATAAGCAGACACATTAAACACGTTTAACCCCACGGTAGTAAATACTCAGATTACTAAATAGAACTAAAGATGTGGAGTTATGTTCCTTATACAGCTTTCTAATACAGCAGCATGTTGAACAACCCACTATACCTTCAACATCAATCTCAGGAGCTGTGACAGGCTGTTCTGGGCCAACTGGAACCACTTCTGGTTTTGATCGGGTTTCAGTCATTTCTGCTCTCCTCGGACTGTTCATCGCAAAGTCTTTTAGCTTTAGCTCTGTAGCTTGTAGCTTTGTTTTGAGCTGAGCAATCTCTTCTCCCTTCTGGGCCATCTCCATTTTATGGTTATACAGTGCGCTTTCAAATATCCTCATGACTTCAAACACGGCCGTCCTTAAGACGGAGTCCATCGTTGTGGTCAGCTGGACCCGGACGCCTCGCATCAGAGAGTCAGACATGATGGAAGATGGCCAACAGCAGCAGCCTTCAGAGCGTGTGAGAGATTGCGGAAATCCTTATTGGCTAAACACAGAGAAACATGATCAGATTACAGTAGTCGACAAAACACGCGACTCATGATTCATTTTTAAAAACCTATCGGGTTTTATAAAGTAAACAACATGAAATGGTTCGGTTGTATGTGACAAACAGTTCACTTCTATGTACATTGTGATTTTGAAGTATTTGCATGCTACTGAATTCCACCTGTTGCAGGGGTGGGCAATCATTGTTATTAGGCCCTAATAAACAACTTAGACGTTGCTGTTATTTTATGACAGTCTAACTATTGATACCTTTAGAGCAGGGGTGCTTAAGTCCAGTCCTCGAGAGCTACGGTCCTGCAACTTTTAGGACCATCCTTATGCCAACAGACCAGGATTCGTTTGATTCAGGTGTGTTGGAGCAGGGACGCTTCTGAAAGTTGCAGGTTGGTTGCTCTGAGGACTGGACTTAAGCATCCTTGCTTTGGAGAATGTGACCAAATTGACAAACAAATCCGGTCAGTGTTGTCAGTGCAACAAAGTTATGATCGTATAATTCAAGATAATATACTATTAAAGTTTTTCACTTTGAAAACTTTTAAATTTTATTTTATCACGTGTTATTTTAAATACATTTTTATCATCTAAAGTACGCTGGATATGTGCATTAGTGTATTTTAAAATTTTTAGTAAATAAAAGACCTAAAACTAATGCAAAATCTATAGATAAAGATCTTAATGAGAGGCACCAGACTCACATAGTGAGGAACACGCCATGTAAATCTTTTTAGTCAAACTAAGAAAGGCTTCTGCTCAGAAATCGGATATTGAGCAGTAAAAAGTAAGAGCCACTAGTTACTTAGCCAAGCTAAAGGGGAAGTGCTTTCCGCCATTTCCCCCTCAGTATTCCCGACAAGAATGTAAAGCATTTCGTGATTTACTCCGTTAGCTTTCCTCGACTTGTAGAGACCTCATATCAATACTACTGCAATGCTACAAGATAAACTTAACATACTGACAATGTGACACTCCTTAGCGACGTGGCCTGGAGAGAGGAGACCTAGCATTAGCATATTCCTGATAGCTAACAAAGTAACACCACAAGCATTCAAGAAACAGTATGCGGACACCAGCCGCTTATGCGATCAACCTCGGCTCACCGGGGAGATGTTTTCTTGTTACTAAAACGGAGAGAACATATAGGAGACGGCACCACAACCCAAATGGACTATTCCCGCCGACTACTGCAATGACGTCGTAGCTCTAGTCTCCGTAGTTAACGGAGCCATACGGCACCTTATTGTGATTGGTTAAGGTGTTGTCAAGCGACATCTTACGCTACAGACGCATCCGTTGCTGCAATGTGCATCGTAATTCATCATTTCAACGCATGAAGAGCCGGGTTAGGCACATTGCGGAGGTACAAAGCTGAAGAAAAATTCCTACATGTTCTTTTGTCACTAAAGATAAGCTCTAAGGAGGTACAAATGTTACCTTATCATTAAATATATAACATAAAACGAAAAATAGTATGAAAATTACTTCCTATCCTATCAAAGATCTAACTTAAAACATGTGGAAATTTAGACTGAGAATTTAAAATTAAAATAAACTTCCTAATGTTTTATAGAAAATAGTTAAAATTCCATTCAATATTAGGGAACAAATTATGGAAAAATTATAATGAAATTGTATTCAGTCCTTGTTTCTCTAAAGTTTTAAATGTAGAATATGTTTTTAGAGTAAATATGATTACAACAGCGGTTTGTATTTATCATCAACCCAAGTGTATACATGTTAATATATACTTAGCTGTATTTACAATTACTCTAAATTGTTACATTTATTTTGTGTGGTTTAGTCAGGTTTTTTATCTGTAAAATTGAATAGGTTTACATGTTTTTTTTTGTCTCTGAATTTTTAATCCATCTGTGATATATGACCCAATTTTCTCATCTCAGCTGTACTTTTTGTTGGTGTCCTACTTTCATTGTGATTCTGTAGTGTTTGGTTTGCGTAAAAAAAAAATAAGTCTAGCTTAACCACATTAACTTTTTGCAAGTAATAAGACAACCAAAGAAAACAAGGCTTCATCCAGGATTTTTTTATTTTTGGATGGAAAAGGAATAGTGCAAAGGGTCGAGTTAAGTGCTTTTTGGACAAGCTCCACAGTATTCTGACTGTTCTAATCCAAACGTCTGACTGCCTTTGTTATCCACTGCATCGCTTTGGACTATATGAAGTATGAAAAAGCTGGAATGAACTGTTTTAGAAAGTTGACCTCCAGGTCAGCCAAAGGTAGTGTTGTTCCAGGCCACATTGGCTGCATCCATGTCCACAAAGTTAATGTAAATCCTGAGACAGACGCAGGAAACAACAAGTTAACAAGTGTTGATCTTAGGTCATATGAAGCAGCACTTGTGTATTTATTACCTGTCAGGAAAGATGCTCAGGTGTTTGTTGAGCAGTCCGCACAGCAGTTTTGAATACTGCTTGTTGTGAGCGCCGCTGATCTTGCCGATGCTGTGGAGGGAGCAGAGGGCGCAGGGGTCTCCTTTTCCTCCAAACATCATCATTTGGTCAGGGTTGATGTGCACAGCAATGTACTGGTGTGCAAGACAAACACAGTCAGATACCAGAAAAGTAAACCTTAAATTAAATTTGTTCAAGGTTTAGGATGTCTATTGTGGTCCAGTTGACGCCTTTGTACTTTTACTTTATTAAAGTTGCCACAAATAAATCGTCCTCTTAGGTTCATCATTCATCAATGCTCAGTCCAGGCCATGCTTGCATAGTTTCACAAGCATCTGCTCACATAGCAAATGAAATGCAGCCGTATTTCTGTCAACATGACATGATCATAAAAGCACAAATAAAACCGACCCATATCAACAACACGAGGTCCACATTGATTCTCCAGAACCGAGTGTCCTCCGGCCTACCTGCACGGGTTTGCCCATCGCTTTGGCCAATTCCTCCGTGGCTTCGGACAGCAGAGCCGCAGGGACGTCGCTTTTAGCCACATTGGTGTTCACCACGAACATCGGCATGATTATCGCTGTGTATTTTCTCCACTGCTGGAGCTGCAGATGTTTCGCTCTCCTTCTACTCACAGAAGGAAGAAGACCAGATAATTTCCTCTTTCTCTTTTGTAGTTTCGGTCGACCACAATGTCAGAAATTGTCCACAGCGCCTCTTGTGGCCCTGGAAGACTGATCACTCCGAGAGGGTGTGACGTGAACGTACTTCTGTTTTTCCCATAATTTATTTAGTGTTGTAAAAAAATATTTTCATGATGGAGCTACGGTGGATCCTAGAAAACAAATAAACTAACCAGCTAATTTCATACTCTTTCAATAATCTCCAAATATAACAGAACAAATTGTTTTTATTGTTTGCTAACCTTTAAAATTATAATATTTTAATGTAATTTGAATTGCTTAATATTTTTCATTTTCATTCTTTCTACACTTATGTTGTTAGCCTTTAAAATCAAGAACAAGACAATTATTTTTGCGTGGCTCCAACGTGTTCCTTATCTATTTTAGGCAAGATGCAAGGTTTAGTTCAATAAATATTCAGCATGTGGTTGTGTTGTCAAGTCAATTTAAATTCGAAACTAACCTTAGTTAGTTAGTTAGTTAGTTAGTTAGTTAGTTAGTTAGTTAGTTAGTTAGTTAGTTAGTTAGTTAGTTAGTTAGTTAGTTAGTTAGTTAGAACTAAAAAAAAAGTAAACAATAAGAAAACCATGTTTGTGTCTGATTTCATAGTAAATTATTTTCTGAGATAAGACGATGTGTTAACGGACCCCAACAGTCCCGCAATTAAAAGCATTTCAGCGCAAATAGAGGATGATCATTTCGAGATTGCGCCTGAACGTCGTAGTACGGTATTTACGGTAGTGGGCAGGCATCATAAGCAGTGCTGAGGGAGCCGAGGAGGAAAACAGTGTCGGCAGCAGCAGCGGACAGGGAGACGGAGAGGGCTGAAGTTGGATTGCGCTTTCTTTTGTCAGCGCTTCCCATGACTTACTCACCCAGTTCAACCTGTAAAACCACACTGTGTGTTTTAATTTCACGTCTGCTAAGTTAAAACGTGGGTATCGTCTGCAGAAGGTGCGTATAAAGAGCTAAATTAGCCTTGATGCTAACACTGGAAACCCTCCTGCATTCCACTTTAACATTCTGACATGTTAGAGAGTTTACTAACAAGAGGAATTGACGAAAACCTTTCGTTTGGTGTTAATTAAACTGATATATCCCCGTGGTTACGGTTAACAGGGCTGAATGGAGGGGCTGTAGTGTGATTAAATTGTTACAGGTGTGGTAAGTACATCTATACTGAGTCCTCTGAGATGAACAGTTGATTAAAATATAGCAGCAGCTAGCTAACTTAAAGTAACGGCTACCGAGGTGATTTCCTGCATCTTTAATCGATTAGGTATGGTCAGCTTCCAGGATCCAGTTTGTAAATCTTTGTTAACGCAGTCACCAGTTAATTAAGGCTGAGTTCTGATCAGATCCACAGCTCTCCGAGTCGAGATGATGGAGGAGTCGGTGAGCGCCTTTGAGACGCATCTGACGGCCGTCATGGACAGCCTGATCCGCGCCTCCGTGTGCGAGATCAGCAAGCTCTTCCAGGAGACGGTGAACGACTACCTGGTGGAGCTGTCCCTCAACAGGAAGGAGAACGAGGCTCTCAAGCTGCGGCTCAAGCTCACGGAGAGCAAGCTGAGGACAGAGCGCAAGTACGGGATGGGCTGGGCGGCCAGCCGCCGCAACGCCGGCCTGAATGCAAGCGAGGAGGTCGGAGGGCGGCAGAAGCGGAAAGTTGACGTTGCCCGTAAGTATTTTGATGTAGAGTGGTTGAAGACTTTACCACAGCCTGTCAGTGACTCACGTGTCTGTCATTTCCATCAAAGATGTATCTGCGTTTGTGTGCTTTAACTGAAAAAAAAAAAAGCTTTAATCTCGCTGTGCAGACACTGACACTCTTGTTTTGTTGGAAACCATCTGGCAAGAGCTGATCTCTCTCCCTTCCTCCTCCGCCTCCTCTTCATGATCTTTCCCTCCATCCTTCGCCCCCCCTCTCCTCTCTTTGCACTGTATTCTGGCCCTCCCACTCCTCTTTCCTTCTGCTCCCTCCCTTCCTGCCTTGCTCCTCTCCTTCTGCCTCCCCCCTCCCCTTCCTGCTCCTCCTTCCGCTCTCCTCCCCCCATCTCCTCCTCCTGCTCTGTTTCTTTCCTTGATCACGTTGCACACACACACATATACTCCCCCGCCTCCTTTCCTCTCCTGCTTCTCTCTCCACCGCCCTCCATAATTACACACTCAACTTCTCTCCTCTTTTTTCCACTTTTCATCCTCTCCTTCAACATGTCACCCCGTTTCTTCTCCTTCTCAACAACTCCGCTTCGTCCTCTCCTCTGTCATTTCTGTCACATGTTTTTTTTCCCCCCCGCTCCTTCCCACTCTCCTGCGTGTCCTTCTACGCCCCCTCTCCTCACTTGTTCATCATGCTTACTCCTCCCCCTGGTTGATTTCTTCTCTCCTTCACCCCAACCTCTGTTTGACTCCTTTCTCCATCTTCCTCCTCTACGTCTCTTTCCCCTTGTCTCTCCTTCATCCTTCACTCTTTACCTCCCAATCATCTCCTCCCACTCGTCTCGCTCCCCCTCATATTTCATCTTCTGTCTCCCTGTGCCCTCTGTCTCCACACCTTCCTCCGCCGCCCTCCCCTCACTGCAGGAAGCAAGCTGAAAAAGGTCCCAGCAGCAGTCCACAGCAAAGGATGGCCTGGAGGTGTGTGGGAGGATGGAGGAGGAGGAGGAGGTGTTGACGGGGGAGGAGGAGCTGGAGGGGCTTTAGGCTTAGTAACGGGAGCAGGAGGGAGAGGGGGGAAGGAGGCCAGGGAGGCGTACCTCGTCCAGTTCCCCCGGGATGAGGAAGACGAGGGAGACATGGAGGATGACGAGGACGGGGAGGGCAGCCTCAGCGGCGAGGGGGAGGAGAACGCCAACATCAAAGAGGAGGTGAGGGAGACGGGCTTTCTCGGCGGAGGAGTAGGAGGAGAAAGTGGCACAGCATCACCGTGTTGCTCGGCAGCTTCACGTAGACCGAGTAGGAATGTTGACGGAAAGATAATGAGGAGAGGTGATGAGAGCTTCGCTTGCATTTCTCCACCAACAAATCACAGCAGAGATGTTGGCGATAAAGAGAACGCTGTTGATTTGATTTTTTTTTTTTTAAGCTGCTAGGCTTCCCTCTTGAGTGGAAATCTTCAACTCTCAAGTACAGCAAAGCTTTTATAATAATTCTAGCAGCAGTATGAAGCTTTTTGCTATGCAAGCACGTAACCAAGTGGTACGTTTTCATCTCGGCTTAGTCTTACAGTGTTGAACAAAAAAAAAATACACCAAAGAGATAAAAATCAGTCGTATAATCTGAACTAGCAGCTGATACATGAAGACGTTAGCATGGAATAAAGATAATTACAAACATTTTAAGTAATCTGTTTCCATTGCCTTATGTCATGGCACAGCTACAAGCTTTTACATGATGCATGAATTAAACTAATAAATAAAACCCAGTGGAACTGATTGCCTTTAGAGTTCATCCGCATGAAGTAATTGTCATTGCCATGCTAAGATCTGAACATTAATATAAAGAGATGCTCTCCATCCAGTCTGACTGAGACAATTTACAAGAAAAATGAACAAGGAGTGCAAAACTGGCAGATATAAACATCAAGGCTGTGCTGCACTGTAATTACAGCAACAGGTGGATCTATAAAACACTGACTGACACAAGGTGGTTGAATAAAAATCCATGCCACACTTTTCAGATAAGAATCATAGCATATATTGTCTGTTAGTAGCAAACCCATTTTTTTTGTCTTGATTATTTGTCTTATATTGAAAATGTTTAAAAAAACTAAAGAAAAAAAAAAAACAAAGAAAAAAGACTGAAATTAGATTTTTCATTTTGGTTTGGTTCCAAAACCAAAATGGAACCATCTTTGATATTTGAACATTGTGAATGTTAAATGTGAACAATTCAGTTTGATTTATAAACTCTCTCTCCATGACTCAGCTGTTTGCTCTCTAACTCTGCAGTTTTCTCAAACGGAGGGCTATCAGCCTGCTTCTCTGAGGCTCATAAAGGAGGCGTTGAAGATGAATCCGCCCAACCAGAACCTCCTCACTGGCTCCAAACCCCAGAGTGAAGGTAATGAGCTCACGACCCTCAGACTGAGGCAGGGCAAGTTAGAAAATCTGAAAAGAAAGTGAAAATCATTCCTCACACAAACGCTGTTCTCCCTCACTCTGTGTCTATGTTGCAGACATTTCAGATTGCCCCTCAGCTCTTCATCAGAAAGAAGAGGAAGAGGAGGACTGGGCTCTGAAACGTTCCGAACCAGCAGACGGGGGCATGACGATGGACGAGCTTCGAGGCCTGGAGTCTGCGCTGAGAGCCGAGAGAGGCCGCGAGCAGGCGTCCAGGACGGCGTCGCAGCGTGACACAGAGGAGGTGCAAGGGAGCGAGAGGAGCGTGGCGCCGAAGTACATCGGACTGGACGGGCTGGAGCACGAGGGCGAGCTGGGTCCTCCGCCCCCTGCTCTGCAGAGGGAGGAAGTCGGAGTGAAGGATGATGCAAGGGCTGGAGGCGTCGATGGAGCGGAGCTGAAGCTTGGCTGGTCAAAGAAGCTGAAAGAAGTGGACTGTGCTGCTATAACACCTGCAGAAGGTGCTGTGGAGCAGGCAGAGCCAGAGCAACTGCCCCATCCGTCTGCTCCCGGAAGCGTGGAGGAGAGCGGAGAGGAGGAGGGCGGAGGAGATCTGCTGCACTTCTGTCCACAGTGTGGCGGAGGCTTCACTTCAGAGGCGGAGCTAGACGAGCACCCCTGTCCACTAGGTGGCGCCCACTTGCAGGGCAGCGGAGAAGAGGTGGGCCTCTTCCCCTGTGCCCACTGTGGCAACACCTTCAGCCACGCCTGGGCCCTCAAGAACCACGAGTGCGCCTGCGCCGCAGAGCGGCCGCACTGCTGCGAAATCTGCGGGAAACGCTTCACACACTCGCGCTCGCTGGAGCGCCATCACCTGGTGCACACGGGCGAGAGACCGCACCGCTGCCCGCAGTGTGGGCGCTGCTTCAGTCGCCTTGGCAACCTGGAGCGGCACCAGCGGATCCACACGGGGGAACGTCCGTACGGCTGCGAGGCCTGCGGGAAGCGCTTCAGCCGCGTGGAGTATTTAAAGAGACACCAGCTGATACACAGCAACGAGAAGACACCGCTGCAGTGCTCCAACTGTGGGAGGAGCTTCTTTGATATCGAGCAGCTGAAGAACCATCAGTGCTTCTAGAAAAGGCCTCATGGAGAACGGAGAAACTCTAGAGAAAGTTGAAGTTTACGACGGAGTATCAGGGTCATTGTAAGGGGAAAAAAATGTAATTATGAGAATAAGGTCGAATCAAGTAATCAATCAAGTGAGGATGAAGTCATAACATCACGAGATATTTTGAGAATTACATCATAACAATATGAGAATAAAGTTGGAATGTTATGATTTTATTCTCGTATTAATTCCATTTGTATGACTTTATTCCCGTAATATTATTTGTTCTTGCAAGACTGTGACTTCATTCTCACAATATTATGACTTTATTTAATAATCATTATTTTCTTCGTGTGCCCCTAGTACTCCGTTGTAGAAGTTAGCTGATGACTGTGATGATGATTATCTTTGAGGTTAAAAGTGCACATGTGGGAGATTTTTGCTGGCAAGAAATCAACAATAAAACTCATTTTATTGCAGGAAAAACAAAGTCCATTTTCTGTGGAAACGTGTAAAACCTGAAATAATTTATGAGCAAGACTACATTGTGAATTTTTATTATTTTTTAGCAATAGTCCACTTGTACTAAAGCCCCGTTCTCTTCCTGCCAATACAATTGACAGTTTTGTAAGCTTTGTATTTTGTATCTTTGTGTTTTGCTCTCTGTTACAAAATTAAACATTTCAATACATCTTGAACCATCGCACACCTGACTTTATTTGAAGGTTCATAATGAGATGATAAGTGCCTGCAGAGGGCGCTGCATAACCGGTAGAGTGAAGCTGAACTAGATGAGATGAACACGTTTTGTCCATTAGGTGGCGCCACTTCGTCTTTTCCTACGGCTTTGAGGCAACATCTTTAGTCGAGGGTGAGCAGGGTGTCCCGGATGATCAACCAAATAGGTGGTTTTCCTTCTTTCTTATCATAAAACGTCCGTCTATTAAAGTTATGCCCCACTCCAACGTGGGGCATAACTTTATTTCCTTCTATATTGTTTAAGTGAATTTTACTTTTTTATTGAAAAAACTAAAAAGATAACTAACCCCAAAATGTCAACAAATCTTAAATGAGTATAGTTACTGCACAACTAAAAAACACTTTTTCCTGTATCACTTTTTATTTTCATCTGTTTAGGTGAAACTTGTCATTTTCAATGTCAGAAACGTTTCTGACATTAAAAAAAATATTGCTGACCAAATACAGCCACTCTTCTATTCAGCAGAGTGATAAGATAAATTTCTTGATCTGTTCACTACCAAAGATTTTGCAACAGCAACCACAGTTTTCACTCTGTGCAGAGAGATGGACTGTTTCCCTTCATGAGAAACACGAATGAACTTTTTATGTTTTATTCCTTTAAGTTCTGAGACATAAATGAAAGAATTTCAGATGTGTTTACAGGTAAATATTTAAGTTGACATGACAAAAAAATAAATAAATAAATCGTGGAAACTGTTATTGATGTTTTAAAAGAAAACGTCTGTCGACAGATGAGAGGTCTGATACACCCTAAAGTCCTGAGTCCCCCACAATTGTATTTATTTTGTTCACTTATTCTCTTAAGCACGTACAAAAGTTTGAAGCAACACCTGGGTTGAAAAATGTTAATTCATTTTCTCCTGTGAAATATCCGTTCGACGTGAGTTGCATTTTGAACTCTTTCAGCTTCTTCTTTTCTTTCTTTGTAATCCTTGCATCACTTTCTGATGAATTCTACAGAGCATGGAGAAAAAAATTTGCAATCATAACGCACTATGGCTTCATATCCACGGCTTTATGTGTAGCTTTGCACAAAATTTATTTAAAAAATCACAGTGCTGATAGTGCTGACAGGTGGTATAGTAGGATTGTAAGTGAACTGAACTGAAAATGGAAGCTAGAATGCATCAAGATTAATATTAATATATAATATTAACATTGTAATTATTATATGCATGACTGATTTTTGTTTTCATCAACTGAAATAAAGAATCCAGTTCATGCCAAGAAATGCTTTATTAAAAGATGATGCAAAGAATACATTGAAAAACCATCATCATTTTCCATCAGTAAAAATGCTCCACTTTTGTTCTGGAATAAATTGAGCTTCTTGCTACTTAGCTCCACAGTGCCCATCAAACAGAGCTATGTTCATGTTTAGCTTCTTTTTCAGGATCAGCTCCAGTTCCTCTAAGGGCATCTCCTTAACATCATAGCCTGATTTCTTTTTCTCCACCACATCATCTCCACTGTTGGGATCGTTTCTTCCCACAGCAGCGTAAGTGCGGAAGTATTTTCCCTGATCCTGTCCAACATTATTGTCGTCGCAGCAGTAAGCAGACCATATGTACTCGGGAATGAACACCCTATCTTTGATTTTGTGCTCTCCTGACTTATAAGGGATGATCCCGGTAATTACATACAATTTATCTTTGCAGACATTTTTAAATCTGGCCGACATCTTCTGTTCAAACTTGCTCCAGTCCTGGTTATTGGAGGTAGCTGTTTGAGGAACGATGTTTGTCAGGGTAAAAGTGGCATTCCGATCGTCCATTGTCGCTTGGTGGCTGCTGGGGGCGAGATGGCCTCTGGTATAGCCGGAGTGTTTGTAGTCATCATTCACGGCCTGGCTCTCCTTCACATTTTGATCTGGGTTTTCGATGTACATCATATTTTTGTTACCTTTGCTGTTTGCCAACTAAAACATACAGTAAGAAAGAAGACAAAAAAACAGAGAAAAAAAAGAAGGAAAGAGAAATAAAAAAATAAAGACAGATCATTTAAAAACAATAAGCAAAATTCATTTAGTCATTGCTGACACTGCTTGTCACTGAAATTGCAAAAACGACCAAATGTTTTTGGAATAAAAATATTAAAAGCTACAAGAGGCGTTTTCTAGTATAGCAGATTCTTTTCATTCCCAACTATTTCCTGGAAATGAAAAACAAGTTGGACATCAGGTCTTACCTGAGGCTCAATCATCCATTCAGGTTTAGGTCTCTTCCCATCTGGGCTGTGGAGTTTATAGGCAGAGTACAGCGGTGTCCGATACTTTGAGTCGTAGAGGGTGGCAAAGCGGTAGGCGTTACGGTACAACTGGCAGATATGCCGATACTCTGGTCCAGTGATGCCTTTGGGTGGTTCGTTTCTGTAGAAGAACTCAAGACAGCTGCTAAAGTTTGCAGCAACCTCGCCATGAACCAGGCCCGAAAAGCAGGTGAGGAGAAGAAACAGAGCTCCGTTTGGCACCATCTTTCTTTCAGTCCTTTGGAGCAAGATAGCAGAGCTACACTTTGTGTGAAGGACAGGAGAAATATGTGCAAGAGATGGAGCTGTCATTTAAATACTGCGTGGAAATCATAGAAGAAGTGGGTTGTGGCTTTAACACCATTATGAAACTACTCATAAATTTCATGTTTATGGGAATGGAAATTTATTAATGCGTCATTGAGTCACATTTCTTGAAAAATTGCATCTGGGCTTCTTCAACACGAGTAAAGCAGCAACACATGTTGAACTGTACAAAAGAGTATAAGTAATTAGCAAACTGCAGAAAAATAATTGATTTGACAAATTGTTGACACACGCACACACACCACTTCCTGTTTTTTGTAGTACTTGCCTGCTTTCAGAGATCGTCTTAGATACCGCAGTGGAGATGCGAGCCACTCCAGGAAGCAGAAACATCATGACATGAGTGAAAACATGCAAACACCAATTGTTCTCAAGCTGAAAATATTAAAATGAGGTCTAACCATGTTTTTTTTGTTGGTTTTTGGGGGGGGGGTTTCCTGTCAGCAAAGCGAAAAGTTAGATAAGCTTAGACAGCGGAGCAGTTGATAGCACTGTTGCCTTGCAGCAAGAACGTCTTGGGTTCAATTCTGCAAAGAGTTTGCAATGTTCTCCCTGTGCATTCGTGTGTTCTCTCCAGGTGCTCTGGCTTCTTCCCACAGTCCAAAAACATAACTGTCAGGTTAATTGGTCTCAGAGTGTATCCCACCTGTTGCCCATTTACAGCTGGAAATAGCCACCGGCTTCCCTCCCAACCCCAGTGGACGAAGCATGTAAGAAAATGGATGGAGGAATCAAGTCTAAAACTCAGTATAAACAATAGCTTTTGGGCCTTAGGTCTAAGATTGCAAGCTGAAGTTCAGATATAACTTCAAGCTTTTGAAGTAATTGTTTCCCTTGTTTAATTGTGCAATTGAAAACTTTATATCACTTCTGTGTTTTCCATATAAAACCAGATTTGAAAAATTGCACTTGCTTCTTAAATATCTATTTCTTCAGATCAGAACCATAACGGCTTATACTTTTCATCTGCTGCAGGTCCAAAAGAGTTTTGTCTTTTTAACTGTTAATTCATGCTTATGTTAAATGTGAACAAAGTGCCGATCTCTGCTTAGTTCTTCTGTCAATAACAGTCATTTTCAACATTTGGTCATTTTGAATTCATTTCAATTCAGTTTATTTCTACACAATTCACAACAAGATTTAGCTTGAGGCACTTTTCAAAAATAAAAGTAAGTTTAGCTCAATCGTACTGACAGATTCAAAGCCAAATGAATACATTTCAAAGGAAAAACTTCACTCAATTTTAATTGAACTAATACATGGAGCATCCAGTCTGGTCATAAAGAAGTCAACATAAAGTGGTGCAAGGCAATTCAAGTTTATTTGTGTTGCACTTTTATTAAATGAAACATTGTTTTAAAACAGAGAATAATTTATTGAAGAAAAGAAACATATAACACATTCAGTGCAGCTGCTAAAGTTATTTGTTATAATCTGTTGTTATAATAAAAACCCTGAAAAGTTTATGGTTATTCCCCTACTATTCATTCTATTGTAACATGGACCCGAATTAAAAGAAAGACAACAAAATTAATTCTGGTTTACTACAATATTTTCAAAATTATCTTCTTCAAAGATGGGGTTTGTTGAAAAAACACAGGATTTGTGAAATTCATTGCTAAAAATGTTTATATCTCAACAGCAAGTAATAAAACCGTTCTCTAAATCTTTCCATATAAGGGTTTTGACAGTTCCCATCGAACAGGGTGACAGACACGTTCAGTCTCCGGGACAGGATGCCCTCCAAAGCCTCCAAGGTCATCTGCTTCACATCATAGCCTCGTACAGAAGGCTTCACTGTATCATCAACAGGCACAATCTCCTGTCCGCTGTTGGGATCATTTCTTCCCACTGCAGCATATGTAGGAAAGCGTTGCTCCATCCCCTTGAGGAGGTTCGGTTTGAATACAGGGCAGCAGTAAGCAGACCACATGTACTCAGGCACAGACACTCTGTTATTGATCCAGTGCGTCTCTGATTCGTAAGGCATGACACCGGTGATTACGTACATTGGCCCGATGCAGAAGTTTTTGTACCTCGCCAACAACTCGTTCTCCAGCGTGCTCCAGGGGCCAGAGTTGGAGCCGATCTGCTGAGGCACTATGTTTGTCAGAGTAAAAGTGGATTCTCTGTCATCCATTGTCTTCTGGTGCAAACTGGGACAGAGGTGACCTTTGGAGAAGCCGGAGTTCCTGTAGTCTTCGAGGACCGCTTGGCTTTCAACCACATTCTGGTCAGTGATGTTTTTAAAACGTCTCATTTCAGGACTGGCACGGGAAAACGCCAACTGAAATCAGGACACCAATGATTTAATGATTAATTCAATTAATTATCTGATTCATTTTGAAAGCTACAATACTTTGCAACACTCTGATCATAGACACGAACATTGTTTTAGGATACATTCAGTTACTTTATTTTTTTTTCACATTCAATGTTGAGTATCAATCATTTCACATGCAAAATGTTTTTGAAAGTTTTAAGTACAAGGCATCTGGGTAGAAATAGCCAGAAATTGTGCTGATGTAAGAGTCACATAACATCAATGTATTTCTAATCAACTAGAAGTAACATGGATTTGATTAAAAAATAAAATTACTCATATATGAATATAAAAAAATGTTCAGTAAAAAGGTTACTGAAACACTCAATACTTGTTTAAGTCGATTTGTGAAAATGTAGCAATCATACAGACAGTAAGTGCAAAAATGTTTCTGGTCCTTAGAATAATTTAATAAAATTTAAAAATGGTACAAATAAATCACATCATTACAAAATAACTGATTCAAGTAAAATAAAAAATAAATTTCCAAAACTGTTACCTTCAGTAGGTAATGTGTTAGAACAGTGCAAAGTCAGTTCTTGCCTGAGTAAGTTCTGCTAGTTATGAACTCGGTTAATTATTTAAAATGATCTAAATCATAACATTTATAAACAGCAGTATTCATAATATTTTAATTAATATGTTTTTAAAAATACGGGACTGCTTCTTTAAAGTACAGAGTATCACTACTTGCTTATTTTACCTACCTGTGGTTCATACATCCAAGGTTGTTTGGGCCGCTTCCCGTCTGCAGGACTCAGTTTGTAGGCGGAGAACAAAGGAGCCCGATGCTGACGGCGATACAGGCTGGCAAAGTGATATCTGTTCTTGTAGAGCTGGCATATTTGCTTATAGTCTACATTCTCAAGACCCCTTGGAGGAGTTCTGTTATAGAAGAAGTCAAGGCATTGACTGAAGCTGTTGCTGACCTCTCCGACAGTCAGACCACCAAACCAGGGCAGGAGGAAGAGCAGGGCTGCTATGGAGGACGGCAGGGAGATCCTCTGAGACATCCTGTAGAACAAACAGGTGAAATGAGATGAATCTGTTGGAGAGAGATGGAAGATCCGCTGATACGTTTCCTCTTCAAAAGCTTCAATGTTTCTCTCACTCAAAGGCTTTATATATAGCTGAAACCTTGACGATTACATTTTGAACAGCTCCTATTTTCTACGCAACTTCCCAGCTGACCGACAGAGTTCTAGGAAAGTTCCACTTTTACGTCATTTCAAAATCGATAGTCATAGGAGCAGAAATTGCTGTTAAGTCATTTGTAGAAACTAGATGGCTTCCCATAAAAAAGTTTTGTCTAGTCATGAGCGTCTGCAGAAACACCATGTTTCAACAACTATGAGAACAAGATTAAACAAAAATGTGGTTGTAGCCACAGGAACTGTCAGCTCACTTTCTTTTTGGCTGCTCTAGAGGTTGTTGCTGACTCGTTTTAGTCTATTTCATCTGAAGGTTTTAATGGCATGAATATTCAAAGTTAACTTTGAATAATTAGAAAAATCAAATATGTATGATGAATTTTTAAAGACCTTTGCTGGGACATTCATTAATCCTAAAAATAATCATCAGGTGACAGACGGCTGACTTTGTAGATGCTTTTTTTGTGTCTTTGAGGGTTCAGGTCTGACGCCATCACTACACCCAGATTTTGGGCCTGACCTCTAGTTTCCGGCTGTAATAACTGAAACTGTGTACTGACCCCGCATGGTTCCTCTTAAAGTCCAAAGATAATAACTTCAGTTTTGTTTCTGATCATCTGGAGAAAGTTATGCCACATACAGGCACTGATTTCTTCTAGCTAATGTCTCATTACATGTTAAACTCTGAACTAGCATGTAATTATTAAATAGGAGTGGTCCCAGTATTGAACCGTGGGCTACCCCATGTGATTTTTGTCCTCAACTCCAGTAAGAAGTTTCCTATTGACATGAAGAAGTCCTTGGTCATAAGATTTGAACCAGTCAAGTTCTGTACCAGAGTCTGACCCAGAGCCCGGTTTCTTCACCAATAGACACCAATAAAGTGGGTGGTGAATATGTGATATTGTGCTATTTAATTAAAGTACATACAGGGGTTGGATGACATAAGCATTTCTTATCAGCCCTTGATGATTATTGATTAGATTTTTGGTTGAAGTGGCTGAAATCTTACCAAACTTGTCCTTTCCTGTTTCCCGTTGAACTGTTGACCCATCCTTGGAAATTTGGGTAATAAAGAACGAATCCTCAAATTATGTACTCCTCTTTCCTTCCCAGATGTAAAAATAGATGTAAGTTAATTTTCTTATGTGAGATTATTTATTTTTATTTTTTTACTCAATACATAATCACTACTTGTGATTTTAATTTTCCTCTGTTTGAGGAATATTAAAAGATCACACATTAAACATGATTAACTTACATGAAAAAGATAATAATCTTATATTTTCTTTTGGTCCAGTCGGGGTGCTTTGACATTTTTAGGATGACTTTTTCAGCTGTAGCGCTATTGCTCCAGCATATCACATTTTTACAGGAATTGCAGTATTTCTTCTTGTTATGCAATGTCATGACACAATGGCACAATTCAGTGAGTCAGTTGTTTTGGTTTCTCTTTTGGTATCTCACACATTTCTGTGTTATTATGATCCATCTTTCACAGAAACTGTATTAGTCAACTAAGAGAAGTTTGTAATAACAGCTTTCAAATGACAGTTGATCTTTGACATGATATGTTTTCATTTCTAAAGAAACTCAATGTTTCTGTTTCCAAAATTGCACAGCTTCTTTTGAGGCATAACCCTTACATGCATGAATTATGATCTTTTGTGTCTGGAATTTTTTCCAAAGTGATTTGAATTTTCTTAAGGCATAAAAAAGAGGAAGGGATCAGTTGTAATTTTCTCCAAATACAAAATTGTTATTTGGAAAACACATCAGTAATACTGTTCTTCAGTGGTTACTTGATGTCACAATATTTTGTTTTGTTACCTGGAAGAGTAAGGGAGCGGGTTGGTCGGCATGCTTTTTCGTCTGTCTGCCATAATGGATTAAACAAAAATCCATTATCCACTCGCAGTGGATGGCCACTAGTTGACAGCAAGGGCATAGAAACGAGTTTATCATGGAGGGGACACATATGGGAAACCTGACAGATCCTTAAATAGCTTGAGAAGAAATGTCAAAAACAATGGTGTCATCAACACGTTACTTAGTAAAGCGTTTCTCCAATCTAATCCATGAGATTAGTAGCAACTAATCTAGTGAATTACTATTTTACAATCTAATAATCAGATAGAATTACAAGAGTGAGTTTTTATAGACCTTTTTATAGATTTAATGCAATAAGGAGAGAGGATGAATCTCCTTTTTCCACCATTAGCACATTTAGCAGTGAGTGAATGAGGTTAATTGACAGCGCTAAGACCCTCCTACTGATTCTGATTGGTTGTTTTGGCTGGAATGTTGCATTACTTTAGCCAGTAATGAATTGATTGATTGATTGATTGTTTTCACAGATTATCTGTCTCATAAACTGTCACATCATGACAGCTTTAACAAATATGGAGAAAACATATTTTTTACTAAAGTTATATACTGCAGTCTGAATAAAATTGTGACACTTTTTATGGACCAAATAGACAAAAAAAAAAAAGACTCAAAACATTGTAACAGCTCTGCATGGGGGTCCCAATCTAATTTTCTGTCCTGGGGCCCAAGATTAGCTCAATGGTAGAGCGCTCGCTTTACCCAGGTTCAGTATTAATGTTTTATCTGATGCAGCACAAAACAAACAAAAACAAAAAAACAAAGTTTGCTAAAGGGTTGCTGCTTGTAGAATGCGTCTTCGCCATCTAGTGGTTAATCAGTCGAATTACACTTGACACCATTATTCATAACTGGATCAAGGTTGCTGTTCAGAAAGGGTGTAACATTGTGTTGCAAGTTGGTGTGGATGAAGAGGAGCAGGGGCGGGTGATGCACCAAAAGGTGCCTTCCAGTGACTTTTGGAGCACCAAAGAAAAGAGAAGGCCTTCTCTTTTCTAGTGCTGAGAATGAAGCCCAAACTTACATGGGAATGCCAGACAGTCTCATTCAGCTGGGGTGAAAACATCAAATCAAACTTAACACTCATCCAAGTTTTAATAAAAGCTTTAGATTGATAGTCTGTGTTAAAATTCAACGATTTATGGGAGGCCCCTCACGGGCTAAATTATATTTGTTCGCTCATGCCTTGGGCCGGCTGTGTCTTGATCCTTTTGGCTCAGAAATCATCTTTTCAGTTTGTCTTTCCTTTTTTTCCATCTTTCTTAGAAATCCCCTCAAAGCGCTGTGGGCTACAATCGTGCGCCTCGTGATGAAACCTGCCGCAGCTCCGGGCCTGTTTCAGCTCGCCTTCCGTCCTCTTCTTGAAAACTCAAGCCGCGCTGTCAGCTCCAGGCCACGCCCTTTCTCAGCTAAAACGGAAGGTTAGTCTGGTCTCCGCTCGCCACGGAGTTTCTCTTCGGGAAAACTATGAGCGCGGCGGAGAATGGCGGAGTCCAGCGCGCTTGAGGAGCTGCAGTCGGAGCTCACCTGCCCGGTGTGTCTGGAGCTGTTCCGCGACCCGGTGATCCTCGAGTGCGGACACCACTTCTGCCAGGTGTGCATCATCCAGTGCTGGGAAGCGAAGGCGGACGAGCTTTCCAGCTGCCCGAAGTGTAGGAAGTCGTGTGCGCGCAAACTGCGGCCCAACTCGCTGCTGTGCAACGTAGTGGACAGCGTGCGCAGAGCCCGGGTCATGGACGCAGCGGCGGGGACGCCGGAGTGGGACCCCGAGGGGCCCCTGGAGATGCCCGAGGACCGAGAGCCGGGCTCCAGCATGAGCAGCGTGGCCTCCTCCATCGGGCACTGGCCTCACCTGGTTCTGGACATGTGTGAGGAGCACGAGGAGAAGCTCAAGCTGTACTGCGAGGACGACCAGCTGCCCATCTGCCTGGTGTGCGGGATGTCCCGGGACCACAAGACCCACAACGTCATCCCGATCACAGAGGCCTTTGAAAACTACAGGGTAGATCGTTCTCCCTTTTTTTTTTTGTTTTGTTTTCCTGCCCACATCCTCTCCAGAGCAAACTATTCATAAACTGTCATACAAATGGCACCATGTGGCTTTAACTGAGCATCATGACAACTGGATAAGCAAGATGAAACACAGAGATCCAGTCAGGAAGTGCTTTACTGGCTGGTCTGTAGTTTTACCAGCATGGCAGGTTGGTTTTGAAAGCACACTCCCTGTTTGTCCAGACGACATATCTCTCTGGAATTCAGCAGACACCTGTGAACTTTTCCAGCTCTCCTGGAAACATAAATCCTTTTTTGTGTCTCTGTGTATTTTTTTTTCTGGTGCTAAATCATGTTTTTGTACATCGCAATGCTCAGCTGAGGCGTGTGAGGCATCATCTGAGTCCAATTCGAGTCTGGATGCTCTCTGTGCAAAACGCAGATTGGATTACCTTTCAATAATCAAGTTTGCCTCTCTGGCTTCGTAACAATATTTCTCTTTTCTTTCTGTCCAAACAGGATAAGCTGGCTGTGGCTTTGGAGAGAGTTCAGCTGCAAACAGAGGAGGCCACATTGTTCCAGAAACAGGCCAATGATAAGATTCTACTCATTAAGGTACTAAAGCTGCTCTCTTCTATTAACCTTACACCCAGACATGCCTGGTCAGAGATTTTCCCAGGGAGTTTGGGAACCTCCACCTGCGTTTCTGTTCAGTCTGGTCTGTTGAGACCAGACTGATGATGACAGGTGGTGACATACAGGTTGTTGCCCGGCCTTGCTTGAACGTGACGACTCTCATGCCGAGGTCCAAACTTAAATGCAGCAACAGCGAAGTAGTGGCAAGTCCTGTTTGTCTTCCTCACACCCTCTGTATTCACGCACGCAGAAATGTTCACAGTGTGCAAATATGCAGAGGGAGATGGTGAGTCTGTGTGTGCTAAACTGAGTTATGTGAGTTTTGCTGCGTGGGGTTGTTTATGCAGC